TGTTTGAATTTGTGTTTGAGTTTTGTAAATAAACTAGTGGGGGAAAACAAACAAACAAACAAAAACCACAAAAGGACAATAACATAAAACCCTGTAAAACACAACAAATCAACCCACTTATCTTACTGTGTATCCCTGAGTAAACTCATTAACCTTAATGTGCTTTATATAATATGGAAATACTAGCTCTAGTGGCCTAGTGATAAGAAGCTATGCTATAATCCCAAATGTACTTGGTTCGAATCCAGCAGCAGCTCTGTGGAAGAAGGATGGCCAGTCTCTTCCAGTGCTATTTACTGCCCTCTGAAAACCTATTGGAGAGTCAGTTATGAGTCAGTTGAGACTTGACAGCACACAACACAGTAGTACTTGTCTAGATTACTACTTATAATAAATCTATAATAATACTTATTTATAATATGGTAATACTAGTATTACTATCTGTTGTTGATAAGTACATTAGATAGCTAATATTCTTAGGGAGCTCTGGTAGCCTAGTGGTAAGGAACTTCTCTGCCAACTCCAAGGCACCTGATCCAAACCTACCAGCTACTCCACGGGAGAAAGGTGGGCAGTCTTATTCCTTGCAGTTTACTGCCTCTGGAAACTTGCTGGGTGGGAGGAGGGAGGTCAGCTATGGGTTAGTTCTGATTCCACAGCAGGTAACAACAACAAAGTTTTCAGAACAATGCCTGGAAAGTAGCAAATACAATACAATGCAATGCAATGCAATACAATACAATACAACACAATACAATACAAATATGCCTTTGCTATTTTTCTCCTCCCTTTACTTCTCCTTCTCATATTTCTTCCTCTTCCTTATTTTTATCTCTTTTTCTTCTTCTTACTACTCTCTCAATTATCCTTCTTCTCTTCTTTTCCTTGTTTTTATTTTTCTAACCCTCATGCAATCCCAAGAAGCTGGTTATTGTTGTGTGCCATCGAGTTGGAACCACTCACAGCTGACCCTCCAGCAGGTTTTAAGAGGTTATAAATGAAACAGGAGATTGTCTTTCTCCTGTAGAAGAGCTGGTGAATTTGAACCACTTGCCTAAGGTTGGCAGAGTAACTTCTTACCACTAGAACACCAGAGCTCCCTAGGAAGATGATAATATTACTTTTTCTTTTCTAGCTAATCTCCCGACTCTGTATAATAATCTTGAGCTTCTCCTTTTGCTTTTGTTTTTCCTTTGCTTCCTGTCCTATTTCATTTTTTCCTTCTAACTCTTCTCTTTATTTTCTTCCTCCTCCTTCTATAATCTGTCTCTTCTCTTATTAATGTTGCTACCAGCCCCCAACCCACTTCCTCATAAATGCAATTAATTCACCAGATTTTGCTGAATATTACCTTAAAAACTTAGTGGCTCCAAATTATGTTTACCTGTGTCTACAAACCAGAAACATCCCCCAAAGATGAAAATTTGCTCCTGGTGAAACAATGAAAAGATATATTGCAAAGTCTAATGTAAATCCTAAAAGTAAAACCCAAAAATGTTTTGAGCAATAAAACCAATGTGGGATTAAATTCAATACTTCTCAATACTCCTGCTTTGAAGGAAATATCTGTCTTTTTAATATATTTCATGCTTGTTTTGGGGAGATATTTTTAAAATCAGCCATATATTTTGTCTTTTCTCCAAGTCACCTAAACTCTTATTTTCTTTTTATTTCCCATAACATTCAATAAAGGGTTGAATGAATTGTAGAAGTTTGATAAATGTATTTATTGGGCTCTTATGTAGAGTTAAAGGGAAGGAAAATTAGACGTAAAATGATCTCCAGTTCATTGTAAACTGTGACACTGCTTAAAATAAATTTAGTTTTCTATGGTGTTTGGAATATATGTTAGTTGGAAATTTGTAATTTGAATTTTTAAAATTATTTTTTTTGTGTGTATCTTCAAATTGGATCTGACTGGTACAGGAGATTGCCCCTCCTTCTCCAGCAGAGCATCTGGTGGATTCGAACTGTGCACCTCTGGGATTGCAGTTGTAATTTGATATTTTACAATTTCTTAACAGACCTGGAAAAGTTCTGTTATAAGATTTTCCTGTTTTTGTTCTTTTCTTGAAATGGAAAGAGCTGTTAATGTAAAGACAGTTCTGTTCCATTCACTTTTTATGAGTTTTGCTGAGAAAAACACTGGTATTTAAAGCTGACTGAGATCACATTGTTGTAGTCTAAACACCCTTCACAAAACCTGAAACACAGTGGAAATTTAATAAATTTTCTAGAAAGAAAATATCATTTAATGTATTTTATCTATTTTATAATTGATGAAACTGAATCTCAGATCATTTGTTTACAGTTACTCAATGGCATAAAATCTACTACTTTCAAGTCAGTTCCAATCCACAAGGACTCTAAGAACAAGTAGAATTGGCCCATAGGTTTTCTGAGGCTGTACATCTTAGCAAGAACAGGCTGCTTCATTTTTCTCATGGCTTTTATGTGCTAACCTTTCTTTTAGCAACATAATATTAACCAGCTGCATTACCAAGGCCCTTTACCACAATGGTATTTCAGAAACCAAACTCACTGTCTTCAAGTCAGTTCTGATTCATAGTGAACCCGATTTTTTGCTGTATACTGATATCATTGATTTCACATGCAAGTAAGATTCTACAGAAGATTATCCAAAAATGACTGGAACAGCTTATCAGCAGAGAACTGCCAGAAGTCCAGGCTGGGTTTAGAAGGGGTCGTGGTACTAGGGATTTTGTAGCTGATGTTAGATGGATCTTAGCTGAAAGCGGGGAATACCAGAAGAATGTCTATCTAGGGAGCTCTGGTGACCTAGTGGCAAGAAGTTGTACTGCATTCTCAGAGGTATGTAGTTCTAATCCACCAGATGCTCTGCTGGAGAAGGAGGGACAATCTTCCCCTGTACCTGTCAGATCTGATTTGACGGTACACACACACAAAATAATAATAATTTTAAAAAAAGAATGTCTCTCTGTTTCATTGATTATGCACAGGCTTTGACTGTGTGGATCATAACAAACTGTGGCTGACTGAGAAGAATGGGAATCCCAGAACAGTTGATCGTGCTAAAGAAAAATCTATATTTGGACCAAGAGGCAGTCGTCAGAACAGAGCAAGGAAACACTGCATGTTTCAAAATTGGGAAGGGCATACGCCAGGGATGCATCCTATCTCCATACCTTTTCAACCTGTATGCAGAAGAGATTATCTGAGAGGCTGGGCTCTATAAGGAGAAGTGTGGCATCAGGATTGGTGGAAGATCTATCAACAATCTATGCAAATGACACAACCCTGCTTGCTGAAACTGAGGAGGACCTGAAATGCTTGCTGCAGAGGGTCAAGGACTGCAGCCTTCAGTATGGATTGAGACTCAATGTCAAGAAGACAAAGATTCTCACCACCGGACCAATTGGCAGCATCTGGATGGATGGTGAAGAGATTGAGATTGTTCACAGCTTTAGTTTGCTTGGCTCCACAATCAACACTCTTGGCACCAGCAGCCAGGAAATTAAAAGACGTATTGTGATGGGAAAGTCTGCTGTTAGGGACCTCTCTAAAGTACTGAAGTGCAGTGGTGTCTCTTTGGAGACTAAGGCGTGTCTGGTACAGGCCATGGTCTTTGCAATCACTTGTTATGCATCAGAGAGTTGGACAATGACTAAAAAGGATAGAAGAATTGATGCCTTTGAGCTGTGGTGCTGGAGAAGAGTATTCAATGTACCATGGAGTGCTAAGAAAACAAACAGATTAATCCTAGAGGGGGTTAAACTGGGCTGCTACTTGGAGGCAAGGATTCTGGGGCTTCATCTGACATACTCTGAACATGTTGTAAGAAGGGACCGGTCCTTGCAGAGGGACATCATGCTTGGGAGGGTGGAGGGAGAGCGCAGGAGGTGAAGACCTTCTATGAGGTGGATTGATTCAGTGACTGGAGTAATTGGGATGGGAGTGTCAGAGGCAGTGCTATTGGCACAGGATAGAGCAGAGTTTAGGGCTGTTGTACATAGGGTCGCTATGAGTCGCAAGCGACTTGACGGCACATAACAAGAACAACAACTGATGGGTCAGAACTGACCCATAGCAGAGCAAAACTGCTCATAGAGTTTCCAGGACTATGAATCTTTACAGAAGCGGACTGTCTCATTTTTCTTCTGAGGAACAGCTGGTGCATTTGAAACGGCTGACTTTTGGTTAACAGCTGAATTCCTAGCTGAATTCCACCTAGGCTCCTCACACATGGCATAGAAGAGATTAAAATGCATTTTCTTTCCTGTCATTATACTATAAATGTGGATTTCATGTATCATATGGAAAAGACTTTAAAATTTGTCTTAGGGTAAATAAAACTTTTAAGTCAATGTTTAATTTAATTTTACGAAGACTTATTAAGACTTTGTTCATACAAGTTAAAAAGTTAGCTTTAAGGTAAAATGTCTTTAAGTGGCCTGTTCAACGCATATCAATTGATTAATCTCTTTTCTCTCTACAGTTTCCTTTCTCCTGTTATGTATTTTTGTTGTATACCGTCAAGTCAGAACAGATCATCCAGCGGGGTTTCAGAGGCAGTTAATTGCAGGGGAGAAGATTGCCCATCTTTCTCCCATGTAGCAACTGATGCATTACAACTACATGCCTTTGTTATCGAAGATCAGCTTCTTACCACTAGGTCAATGGATAGGCCACTAGGTTGCTGTCCACTGTGAGAGAGAGCTCTGGCGGCTTAATGGTAAGAAGCTGTGCAGCAATCCCAGAGGCATATGGTCAGAATCCACCAGCTGCTCTGTGGGAGACGGATAAACAACCTCCTCCCAAGCAATTTACAGCCTCTGAAAATCTCTGGAATCAGCTATGAGCTGGTTCTGACTCAATAATACACAGCAGCCTCCACCATGGAAGACATTGTGTTGGAGTTATTTGTCTCTCTTAAGAGATAACCTATTTCCTACTTCTCATGATCTTTTAGACTTCCAAGACATTGGTAATCAAGTTCATTGATTTTCTGCTGTTTACAGGATGAAAAAAGAGAGCCAAGCTCATGTACCTGCTTAAAGGGGCCCAAATTGTCAGAAATCAAAACAATTGCCTGGATGATCACATTCAGTGATGCCCTCCACAATTTCATTGATGGCCTGGCGATTGGAGCTTCCTTCACCTTGTCTCTCCTTCAGGGATTCAGCACTTCAATAGCAATCCTATGTGAGGAGTTTCCTCATGAGCTAGGTAAAGCAGCTTTGCTTCTTGATCTTAGTGCCATAATATAAATGAGGTGACAAGCCCTTAAGATCCTACTGATCCCATTAAAGGAGGACTTGTTTGACACTGATAATGACTTTTATCTCTGTAAAAATAGAAAAAATATATTCACTTGATATTTTCTTTCTTTTTTAGGGGACTTTGTGATTCTCCTCAATGCAGGAATGAGCACTCGGCAAGCTTTGCTGTTCAATTTTCTCTCTGCGTGCTCCTGCTATGTTGGACTAACTTTTGGCATATTGGTGGGAAATAATTTTGCTCCAAATATTATCTTTGCACTAGCTGGAGGCATGTTCCTCTATATTTCTCTGGCAGATATGGTAAGAAATTTGAAATTTTTATTTTGTTTTATAGTTTTAAATTTAGAAATGAACATGTGGGTCGTTCTGCTTCTTTCAGTGTATAAGCCTTTTTAACTGGAGTTTTAAACATTTTCAGTCAAATAAGTTTTCTTTAGTAGTTTGCACTAACAGTAATTTAAAAGTGACTCTTTTATCTGTAATATGATTGATTTGTGATGAAACTTTTCTTTTGCTGAATGAGTGACATTTTCCCAAGTGTCCTTTTTGGTTCATGGTTGGTAAAGCTTGTCTTCTATTATGCTCGAGCTAGCAGTCATTTAGTCAGCTCCCATTTCAAGACAGTCCCATCAACAATAGAAAAACACTGCCTGATGTTGTGCCACTTCCATGAAGATGAGGGTGTGGACCACAGGGGTTTCATTGGCTAAACTTTGGATGCTAATCACCTGTCCATTCTACTTAGGCTGTTATATTCTGGAAACTCTGCCGAAACCTATTCAGCATCATATATCAACATAGACACATATTAATCAGTAGTTTCTACATGAGGTACAATGACTTGGAATTGAGCACAAAGATTCTGCATAGATGGTGAGAATTCTACTACTGAGTCACCAGTGCTTCATCTACCATTAAAATCTCCAAAGGATTTGCTCTTATATTGTGAGCATGCCCTATTTAGAAGCAGAATAGCTAGTTGAATAAGTACCATTTTATTTTTCAAGGTTCTAAGACTTTTAGGCTACATTAACACTGATAAAAGTTTTTAAAATTTAAACTGGATGGTACTTATTTGAGTCAGCATATGTTGCATTTTTATTTATGTCTTTGCTGAGCTTTTATTTTTATATTTTAGTATATCAGTATATAAGAGAAAGCACATACCAGTGGTACGTAGGGAACGCTGGTGACACAGTCTGTAGGGAATTGTGCTGCACACTCAAAAGTGGCACTTCTCTAGCTATGTCAGTCCTCCAGGGACTCTGCGCGAGATAGATGGACAATCTTCTCTGTGCAATTGACAGCCTCTGAAAAGCCACTGGAGAGTCACCAATGAATTTGTGACTTAATGGTAATGAGTTTGAGTTTTGGAGTGTGAATGTGTGTTTGTATCAATTGAGCATGCAATCAAGATGCATTAGTAATAATGGGTGACTGCAATGCAAAAGTTGGGAACAGAGAAGAGTCAGTAGTTGGAAAACATGGACTTGGACACAGAAAAGAAGCTGGAGATAGAATGATAGAATTCTGTCCAATCAATGATTTATTCACTGCAAATACTTTTCATAAGAAACATAAATGCAAACTATACACGTTGATAATAATGGGTGACTGGAATGCAAAAGTCGGGAACAAAGAAGAAGATTCAGTAGTTGGAAAACATGGACTC